CAGATGTATGTAATGATCGAGCATTTTCAATATTCAGAAATTATATCAAACACAATGTTGATTGAAATGCTTTTCTTTCTTTTCAATCATGTTTCTTTGTTTTTCTATCATTGCTCCTGTAAAGATGGTCCACACAGAAACAGACGAAAGAAATAAGCACAATTTTGCCAGTTTTAGTGATTCATTTGCTTACAAAACAATTGTGGGTATATACTAGAGTGTTTGAATCCCTTACCTGGTAGCATTAGCAACCGTTCATTCCGGCTCTCCACGTTTATGTTCAACTAATCCCACAAAAGTTATTATGCGCATTTTGTGAGAACGAGATTGTTCGGTCAGAATCCCTACCTCGTATCAACTATCAACCCAGACCAACTTCGTTCAAATTTGAAACACTCTGTTGCATTTGAATTTGCAAAGTTTATGATACGCAAATTGCCGAATAGCAATCGTGCCAAAACCGTGACTTTTGCTCCAATCTCTTCCTTTTGTTTTGAGTCGTTTTTGTGTTTCTCTTAGTTCTCTTGGTTTTATCTCTACTCAACTTGCTTGGAACAAAAAAAACTAAGTTGTTGCTGTTGTTCTTTATTTTTCATTGACCTGTAATACGCAACTTCGCAAGGAGAGGAAGGGCGGAAAGCTCAGATGCTCAAGTCAGCGTTGATAAAATCAAGACTCAAGAGTATATCCCTCTCCCCTTATATATTAATCTAAAACTCGTTGAGCCTACGTGGTTGCTTCTTGTGCTTTAAAATTCTATGTGGCAAAATTACATGCTTCATCATTAATAGGCTTGAGTAAATTTTAATTTAATTCCAATGGATTACCATAAATATATTGATTACTTATGGTTATGTTACATGTATTAATTGCATTTTAATATCATTCTTTATTATAACAATTGAATTGTATATATATTTTAAAAGTTAATAACTTTTGTATTTTTTATCAGTTTTACATATATAATATATCAAATTAATCTTCTTTTGATGAGCTTCGATTTAACATCCATATTGTAT